CAGATTTATAATCAACCCTAATGTTATTGTTTATGAAAAGCTAACAAGAATGGAATCATTCCGATCATTTGAATCGGAGAAAATCGGAGAAAAGCTAGAAAAGAACCGGTAGGGTTTCGTCTCCAGTATGTTGTGACTCTTTTCAAGAGCTCATATATTTGGAGTTGCATTGAAATCCAAACTGCATGGTCTGCCTCTCAAACGCCATGTCAAGACAGAAGCAAGCTGGTGTCCGAGTCAATTTGGGAAACTGCTTAGGATTCAGGTGATGATTTGTAAATTGAATTCCAAGTGACCATTGGTCTATTTTTGTTGGTGGATGAATAAAATATTTCACTTACCATTTTTTAGTCTGTTTGTTGCATATAGGCTTTTGTCTGTTGCCCCATAACAAAATATAGTACTCGACTATTTTGTTTTGTGTTGATGAGTTTGAGATCCAAGGGAAAAAGAACAGCAACTTACATTGAACTAATTAAAAGCTCCGAAAGCTCTGTGTGATGTTATGCTGTTGGTCATAAATGGACAGAATGCCCAAAGCCATTTACTGCAATTACTACCGACCTACTTGCTCCTTTTGCTTCTGTTGAATCCCTTTGTTGTCTTTCTTCCCTCTTCATCTGCATTCATTGGTCTGCCCTGACAATATTTAGACTCAATAAAAGTGCTTCATTTTTTTTTTCTTGTTGAGCATTACTGAATGTGTTAATGTCAGCTGTGATGTAATCTTTTAACCTGGGTGAGGGTAAAAAAAAAACAAAAACAAAAAAAAAACCCCCATATATATATATATATATATACACACATACCTGTCAACTTTTCGGACTTTTCGGAGCGCCAACCTGTATAAACTACCAAAAAAATCCTTATAAAGAGCAAAAAATCCTTATAACATACCAAAGCATTTTATATGTCAAAATAACGGCAGAAAAAACCCACGAAATTTTCAATGATATTTATTGTAGATCTCCATAATACAATGTCTGGTTAATGTCTAATCATCATTCTACTTAGTGGCATTACTGCGTTCAGAGTTGTATTCCTGTGCTACTTTTTTCACCAACTCCAAATGCTGACCCATGTTGGTTCCATTGCACAATATGAATGATATATTTGTTTCCTTGTAGAACTTGGTTGTACACTACCGAAGTATGCAATGAATACTCTGCTGTTTTCAACTAGGAACCACAGTGATTTACTGGAAAGTTACCGGAAATGAAAGCATTCGAGTAGACCAGCACCATTCTGGGCAAAAGCAAACGGAACTACCTGTTAGGGGGAAAAAAAAAAAAAAAAAAAAAATTCAGAATCCGTATGATTTGTGCGATACGGCCATATACGTAAGATTCACCGCAAAATCCGTATAAACTACGGCTAAACCGTATGAGTTGACAGGTATGCATACACACCGTATTTTCCGCACTATTGGGCGCACCAAAAAGTCTTCAATTTTCTCAAAAGCTCACTGAGCGCCTTAAAATCCGGTGCATCTTTTGTATGGTCATTACGGTAAGACGTCGACTCCAATATGGCACCTTCCTGGAGACATGTTTCCAATGTTATAACTTGCTGTTGGTTCAGTGAACTGTGTCGCTGCTTTATTAAATAAGTATGTGTTGCAGCTCCGAAAAAAGGAGAGCTGTGGTGTTCATTTTTTAAAACAGTCTCAACAAATACAGGTAGTCTTTGTCTATCTCCATGCTTTCTTCCGTTCGACTCGAGAGGCGTTCAAGACCGCCACCGAAAAACGTATACTAACGATTATTTCAATCACATTACAAAAATTGAAAATAATACATCAAAACTGAAAAGCAAGCGAGGATATAACAAAATAAATTCTATCCCCCCCGCCCCCCTACAGAATTTGTATTGTGATTTCATCATTTGTGAATACACAACAAAGGAATAAATAACTATGACTGACATCTTGCTGTGCTATTTTGACTTAAAGATGGCGCCGCGAGAGTGGCTGCCTTTCCAGCAGCTCCTATTTATTTAGTTCTTCTACTTCTTCCTCTCATAACTTTGCTGCTGTGAAATGGGAATTTCTCCATTGTGAGACTACTAAAGATTTTCTCAGTGGCGGGCCGTGCATTTCAACCTGAGGCCTTCAGTGACGTCACATACATGAACGCAATACTGTATAGGGTTCGTCAAGCAGCACTTAATTTCAGCAGCATATAAAACCATCAAGTATGCATTCACAATTAAAAGCAGGAAACTAAATTTACAGATAGTCAAAAATAAAAAGATGATTTCAAAATACGAAATAAAATGCCACCCAAATTACGCTGTGTGATCTTAAACAAGTCTGTCCAATACATTGCGCAATGTCGCAGTTTCATATAAGACACCAACCAAACAATAACAAAACAAACTATTCTTTGAAAATAAACAGATCATTTGCATTTTGAAAATCGGCGATA